CTAAATATATGCATAGCGATGAACATCCCCAGAATAGACCCATTAGATTCAATAGAGGCACTATCCCTAAAAGGTTAGATGATTATGTACTGTCTATCCAAGCTAAACACCTGACTCCCAACACATATGATGACATACTCAAGTTAGCTATAGAAAAAAAAAGTAAGTGGGAGGAAGCGATGAAAAAGGAGATGGACAGTTTGGTAGAATTAAATGTATACTCACCAACAGATTTACCCTCAGAGAAATCCCCCATAGGCACTAAATGAATATAAAATCAAAGAGCTAGAGGATGGTAAATTCCTATATAAAGCCAGATTAGTGGCCCAAGGCTTTGCCCAAAGATTTCCAGATGACTATGAGGACACATACTCTCCAACCGTTAGATCAGAAAGTGTGAAAACAGCATTAGTATTAGCTTCCATCTTAAACCTAGAAGTATATCAATTTGATGTGCAGACAGCTTATCTACATGCTGATCTCGATAAAGAAATCTATGTAAAAGCACCCCCAGGAAAGGATACAAAAAAGGGAGAAATTTGGCTATTGAATAAGAGTCTTTATGGACTAAAACAGTCTGGCAAACGGTGGTATGAATGTTTATCAAAGACACTTAATGATATGGGTTTTATAGCTACTTCATCTGATTTTTGTTTTTTCACAAAAAGAAATAATGATTCTGTTGAATATGTTTTGATTTATGTTGATGACATATTATATTTTGGACGTGATAAGATTAAATGTGATGATTTTGCTAAACAATTGGGCAAACATTTCAATTTAAAAATATTAGGAAAAGTAAACAAGTATTTAGGAGTCCAAATTGATAAAACGGATAAGGGTTTCAAATTGTCCCAGAAAGATAAAATTATAGAACTCATACAAAAGTGTAATATGGTTAACTCAAAAATTTGTGAAACTCCCATGTCAACTGATTTTTATAGAAATGTGCATAATGAATACGAGCCATTCAAAGATAACACTTTATATCGATCAATTATTGGATCCTTATTATACATATCTAATTGGACTAGGCCTGATATCACCCTTGCCGTAAATTTGTTATCAAGACATGTAAGCAATCCTAACTTATACCATTGGGAAGGGATCAAGAGAATTTTGAGATACTTGAAATCTAGCATTAATGTATGTCTATACTTAGAACCATTCATTTCTGAAAAACCAACGTTGACCTGCTACGCTGATGCAGACTGGGCTGCTGATTCAAAAAGCAGAAAAAGTACCTCTGGATATGTTTTTCTTATAAACGGTTGTACGGTGCACTGGTACACTGGCAAACAGAACTTAATTGCCACCTCTACAGCAGAAGCCGAGTACGTTTGTTTATCCAAAGCGGTCAATAATCTAACCTGGTTCGATGATTTGTTATCTAATGTATGGGATGAACCTATTTATCCAATTATCATCAATGAAGATAATAAAGCAGCAATAGACATATCAGCTTCCGAGGCAATAGGCCAACGATCTCAACATATCGATATCAAGTATAAACATGTAAGGCAACTGTCAAGTATAGGGTTCATTAAAGCTGTTCATTGCGATACTAATGAACAAATTGCTGACATCCTCACTAAGCCATTAGCAACCAAACAACATGTATATTTGACTTCTAAGCTTAATGTACATATATAATCTTAATAACCCACCATTGGTTAGGTATTTTAGAGGGGGATTTGTTACAATTGAAAATATCTAACCTGCTCTCTGTAAATATGTGTGCTTGTATATATATGTCATTGTGTGATGTCATTGTGTCCCTTGTCATTGGTTATTACTTACCATTCACCCCGCCTCCTCTGTATATAAGCCTTCTCTTATCTCAGACTGTGAGCTGTCTAAAAAGTGTTCCTGAGGAAGATGAGAAATAAACATTACTGATACAAGAAAGTCTACAGTCTCTTATATTGGGCCTAACCAGAAAAACCAAACTAGCAACAAATTTTAAAGAAAAAGATTAAATTTACACCACAGGTTTTTTTTGTTGGGAATAGTTACGGATTGTACTGTAATAGAAACTAAGCTGGTTTTGAATTTAATAACAGCTGCCAGGTTACTGGTGGCATAGTATTGGAAGAAGGAAGATCCACCTACTATTGAGGAATGGACACTAAAAGTCGTGCATTTGGCAGAGATGGCAAAAATTTCAGCATATCTTAAAGACCATTCAAACGAAAGATACATAACGGAATGGAGAAGATGGATTGACTATATTCAAAACAAGTATCAGACTAAGAAGATTCATATAGCTTATGAGTGAAACATTTTTAACTTTTAGCTTATGTTTATAGTGTTTTGAGTTATAAGGAGTTAAAGACCTAGAAAGAATTTGAAGTCAACAATTTGTTAGCATATTTTAGTTTTATGTTTGTGGATGCTATACCCTGTGCTTGTTCTGGGAAGTCAAGGGAGGGGGTGGGGGGAAGGTTGAGGGGGGATGGATGGGAGGGCAAGGGGGGAGGGAAGGGTTGAGGGGGGAAAGGCGGGGGGGGGGAAATATTTGTATTTCTTATAAAACTTTTCAATAAAAAAAAAAACTTAAAACTAAAGAAGCTAGGACCTAAATTCATAGGCCCTTTTCCCATAGAGAAGATAATTAAATGCACAATGCAATTTATACTCCCTTGACTGCTAGGGAAAGTGCATCCAATCTTTCACAGTAGCTTGTTAAAGCCGGCAGTAGGCTCCCTAATCAGGCCAGTAGATTGGGCAGCCCTGTCATGCAGGGGGAGATGCATTATGAGGTGAAGAAGATTTTAAATTCAAGGCTGCACAGGGGTCGGTTACAATACCTTGTACATTGGAAGGGGAACCCCCTTTCTGAGGCCACATTGGTCAAGAGTTGGGAAGTAAAGGCAGACAGGTTGATTAAACAGTTTCATTATGATTTCCCTCAAAAGCCTAAGGGGACTCTGGGGGGAGAAAGAGGGGGTTGAGGTGAGACTTAACTAATTTCTTCTGTGTGTCTTGCAGGAAATCCTCTTCAACTGAGGGGGGAGGGCAGCCTGTAAACCCCGAAGCTGACCTGGCTGAAGCCATCTTGGAGTTTCAGTGTTGCCACACTAGAGCAAGGAATAGGGAGGGGGGGATTAGAGATAGCTGGGATTGTGTAGTCAAAATAAAATACTTTCTCCTGGGAACCAAGAACATTCTCACACCTGGCCGGAGGAAGGAGGAGTGATATCACCAGACCAGTGGATGCTGCATTGATTGGACCATGTGACTGATTATTTGGGACTGGGGGGAAAACTTTTACTTTTAATTAGGTGAAAACCAAGAGGCCCTTCAGAGTTGGCTTTCACCAGATACGTGCCAATTTGATATTTCCAATAAAGATATTCTTTGAGGAATCTATCTGCCTTGGAGTTCTTGCTTGCAATGGATATATTACTAGCTGCTACACCAGAGACATGACCAGGAAGCCCCCAGATCCCCAGAGAATACCGGGACCTGGCAGAAGTGTTCAGTGAGGAACAATGTAATGCCCTCCCACCTCATCACCCCACAGACTGTGCCATAGAGTTCGTACCAGGGGCCAAACTGCTCAAACCAAAGATGTACTCCATGACCCCAAAAGAGATGACTGAATTAAGGTAATACATCAACACTAACCTGGCCTGAGGATTTATACAACCTGCCAAATCCAGAATCCAACCCTTTGTCATCCAAGCCGACGCCAGCAACTTGGCTGTCATGGCAGTCCTTCTCCAGAAAAATGCCAACGGTGATTTGCAACCCTGCGCATACACCTCCCAAAAACTGATGGAGACCGATGGCTGTGTTGCACAAAAGCTCTTTTGAGCACTACCATTTTTTGCCCCATCACATACATCTTTTGAACCAGCCTTAGTCATAAGAACCCCAAACAGCTATTTCTCTGGGTTTATGTAAATCAAGCTTCTTAAGGGGCCTTTTTGGCTTAGCAGGAAAACATTTGAGAACATTCTTAGAGAAAGATGAAAATACAAATATTTGTAAAAGCAATAGTTTTAGTCCTAGAAACATTCTTCTTCCCCTACATTAACTGCTGTTTACTTTTCCCCATGTTATGACTCTTCTGCATTTTAAAATGTAACATTTTGATAATGAATTTTAGTATCCTCCCCCAGAAGAAACAAACTACAAGACACTATTGGAAGAAATATCCTTCTGGGTTCAGTTCCAAATGGGGAAAAAGACACTGGATTCACGGAAGTTGCTTGGAAAGAAGGTTTATTGATGAACAGGATCACATGGCTTGAGATCCTGAGCAGATTTATATAGCTTGAGTTCCTGAGCAGAAAAAAGGACCGAGATGCTGAGAGTGCCTTGGTTTTATGCCCTCTGTTGGGCTTTGAATTTGAGCTTGTATTCTGATTAGTTGTCAGACTGCCATGGGGCCATGCAGGGGCAATTCTGTAGTTTCTCCTGAGTCCCAAGCTTGGTGGAGCCTTGCTGGATGATGCAATCTCCCCAGGTGCCATGTGGTGAGTTCTGTTGCTAGATGGGTAGAGGGCTAATCCTATCTTCCTTGGATCTTGGTTGAGGGCATTTACCTATGCATAGACCTAGCTATCTCTTTATCTCTTCAGTGTGGATATCTGCTGTGGGCTATTGAGGGTGGTGGGGGCTATTAAGAGTGAGTCTGTTTTCTGCCTAAAAACATGTTTCTACATTTCTTATCCAGGGAAATAAAATATTCTGCCTTTTTAATATTTCCTAGAATATTTCATTTTCCTAGGAGAGGGTGGGTACTAACTTCCTACAACACAAAGCAGAATTAAAACCGGAGTGACAAGTCTCCACCGGTGACCATTCAATGAGACAGAATCTGAGTCAAGCTGGTGCTGTCCAACTTCAAGTGAAGCTTTTCCCTTGAGCCAATAGAAATGCATATCAGGCTTCTCTGCAAGTGTGTCTTTACAAGTGTGAGCCAGTAAGCCAGCAGAGAAAAATAGGAGGAGGAGGGGCAGGAGCAGGAACCGCATGAAAGCTACACTGCTGCCAGAAGTGAAGGAGGCAGAAAGTTCAGCTGTTGCTGCTTTTCAGAATCTTTTACTAAGATGCCCTTTCAAAACAGTTCTTCCTGGACAAGGAAACAGAAACTGATTTTGACAGGGGTGGTAGTGGTGCTTTTGGGCACCATGACTGTTTTTGTGGTTTTGGGACTGCTCAGGGTTGGAAGGAAGAAGACCCCCACTGCAGAAGAACAGCAGTGGAAAGGCAGAGGGACCACTGAACACCTGGTGGAAATTGTCCTGGGAAGATGTTACAACTTCATTACTACAATAAATTCTGAACTCAGGTGAGTGGCAGGATATTCTTGCAAAAACTGAAAGCAGGACTGATCCAAAGGGTATGCAAAAAGGAAATAAGTAGGAAAAGGAAATGTCTGAAGCTTTTTTTCCAGAAAAATATTTTCTAGCAGTTGGAAATAATTTTATTCCGAAATGTATCATACTTAGGCTTGTTATTTTCTTCTGAGGAGTGCTCTATTTTATTACAAAAACATATTTAATAAAATAATATAAAAATGTATGTTCTGCCTTCAAATGCATCTGCATCCTTCAGGGCTGATCATATCAGAATTTCAATTATCCCAGCAAACTATTTCAATTAATGGAAAATCCATATACATAGACATTTTCACATTTCTTCCACAGCAAGTAGTATAGGCATGTCTGTTGTCTCTAACATTAGAAATAATACCTGACAATTGATTACCTTCTCTGAAAATCCCCCCCCCTTTTTTTCTGAAAATTCCAGCTATGTCTGAAATGGTGCAGGATCTCCTGCTTGAGTAAGGGGTTGGACTAGAAGACCTCCAAGATCCTTTCCAACTCTGTTATTCTGTTCTGTTTAAAATTACCTATTACTAGAGCAAAATCAGAAGGAGAAAGGAGAGTTTATTAGTACGAGTGAGGGATACCTCTGTCATATTCCCACTTAACCTTCCTTTCTCTTGAACTACAAAGCCAAAGTGTTGCAACCTTGCTCCAGCAGCTTGACCCTTTGATTGTTTCTTTCACAATCCTCTGAATGTGGCATGTTCCAAAAAGCATACCTTTTCTCTGATAAGAGTGATTCATGGGTGCTCGTGGTTCTGGTGTTACAAACTAAGGATTTGTTTTAGCATGCTATGGCATTTCAGACTGGAAACGAGACATTTCAATGACTTCTTGAGGAGTGGAAGGTGTAATATATAAGATGGCTAATGAAGGGGTGTAATACAAGAGAGCGATGAGGACAGATGGATCTGAGAGGTGATCTTCAAAAATAAGATTGCATTAATTGTTCAAACTATAGGTAATCCTCAATTTACAACCACAATTGAGCCCAAAATTTATGTTGCTAAGTAAGATAGTTAAGTGAATTTTGCCCCAATTTACAACCTTTCTCGCCACAGTCATTGCAGCTATTAGGTTAGTCATACAGTTGTTAAATGAATTCGGCTTCCCCATTGACTTTACTTGTCAGAAAGTTGTCGTAAATATGAATCAATTGCCAAGCATTCAAATGTTGATCACGTGACTATGGGGATGCTTCAATGATCATGTGAAAAATGGTCATAAATCACTTTTTCCAGTATTGTTGTAAGTCTGAATGGTCACTAAATGTACTGTTGTAAGTCAAGGACTACCTGTAGATTATCTCTGTGTTTCAGGTATGAATTTGGAGAGAGAAAAATTCTGGAGCTTAATGATTTTACTTTGTCTTGAATCATGGATTTGCATTTCAGGGCTCTCTCTATAAAGTTTACTCAGAAGTAAATCTAATTATATTCTGTTGGGTTTCCTGCCCACTAATGCAAACAGAATTGTAGTTCTAGTAGGAATATTAACTCATGAGTAAACCTTGTGTGCCTCGTTGTTAAGTAAATATCCCATGGTTATAAAAAAAAAGTCCTGTTAATTTACATTAAAGGAAATCAGGATTTTAAATCAGGAAACAGAGAAATGTGATTGAATTTGGAAATGCATGGCTGATTGAATTAGACACTATTTTTTAAAACTGGTTTGTAATTATTAATGCAATGGAGGTGGTAATCTGCAAAACTCAATGGTAAAGGAATGTATTGTTATCTTTGTGTAAGCAAAATGCTTCCGGAATTTTATCAAGGCATTGCAATTTTAGTGCATTAGTGTGAGCTTGAAAGGGAGATGTTATTGCTCTAAAATGAGTCAATTCTTCAAAATAAATGTAACTCTTAACAGAGTAGCACTATTTCTTTCTAGGCTCATTTGGAAATCAGAAAAAGTTCCAAACCTTACTTAAATACTATTCCCTGAGATCAACTTCTAAATGCATACCATTTTAAAATTGCCTTTAATTTTTCTTGAAATTGTTGAATTCTTTAGAGAATCATACTCTTAGAGGATTTGAGGAGATATATTAATATTAATCCACATCCTTTTCTTTCTGGGTTGCTAATGGTTTTAAATGATAACTGATCTTTTCTATAAAGACAAACACATCAAAGTTTGATCATACTACTTTAAACAGAGAGATGCTACATTCATGTTCACTCTCATTCCAAAGTATTTCTTCCATATTTTTGTGAAGTGTACTCATCCTGTATTTATGGATTAATTTTCTTTTTAAATCCAGTTTATACAAATCAGCATTTGTTGTGTCAAGGAGGCAGGCTAGATTGGGAACTATATACTATTCAGCCTCCATTTCTTCATCTCTTAGGCATTATTTCTGTTTCTGTAATATTTAAATTTTGTAAGTCATTAACTGGTGGAGTGGTTGTGCTAGTCTCACATTCAGACTTTCAAAAATTATAGGTTGATAAATTGTTATTATTTTTGTTAATGTTAATGCCATATGTCTATTTTTATTATGTTTATAAATAGGTGGTTTAATCCCATATACATATAGTAAAATTGTAAGATAGATGGCAAATGCTACATAAATCTGGTTATAAAATAGAATAGAATAACAGAGTTGGAAGGGACCTTGGAAGTCTTCTAGTCCAACCCCCTGCCCAGGCAGGAAACCCTGCACCACTTCAGACAAATGGTTATCCAATATCTTCTTTAAAATTTCCAGTGTTGGGGCATTCACAATTCCTGCAGTCAAGTTGTTCTACTTATTAATTGTTCTAACTGTCAGGAAATTTCTCCTTAGTTCTAAATTGCTTCTCTCCTTGATTAGTTTCCACCCATTGCTTCTTCTTCTACCCTCAGGTGCTTTGGAAAATAGTTTGACTCCCTCTTCTTTGTGGCAACCCCTGAGATATTGGAACACTGCTATCATGTCTCCCCTAGTCCTTCTCTTCATCAAACAAGACATACCCAGTTCCTGCAACCATTCTTCATGTTTTAACCTCCAGTCCCCTAATCATCTTTGTTGCTCTTCTCTGCACTCTTTCTAGAGTCTCAACATCTTTTTTACATCGTGGCGACCAAAACTGAATGCAATATTCCAAGTGTGGCCTTACCAAGGCATTATAAAGTGGTATTAACACTTCACGTGATCTTGATTCTATCCCTCTGTTTATGCAGTCCAGAACTGTGTTGGCTTTTTTTGGCACCTGCTGCACACTGCTGGCTCATACAGATAGTCTTCAAAATATAACTGTAATGGAACCTGCCCATTACAGTGGCATGTCACAATGGTCGTTAGGTGAAGTATCTCACCTTCTCACATCTGTTCTCCCTAATGAAGCATTAAACATCTAGGTTATTAAGTGGAGCAAGGGATGCTACATTTAGGTCACTGCTATGTGGCCCAGTAACCTGAATGTTTTGCTGCCTTAACAGGATCTACACAATGATTCTGAGTGCTTCAGAAAGCATCTGCAGCACTGTGCAGATTGTCGAGCCCAAAATCCTCCGAAATGGTGGAGTCGGGAGAAACACATGAGGAGATATAGATACGCACACGATAGGTGGTGGTGACACGGTAGGCAGGCGGTCGATCCTGGGACTGCCAGACACCAGGTGTAGGACAGGACCTGAGGGGCTGCGGAATGAAACCGGACAGAATGGAGCGCGCAAACGAAACCAAGATGCGCTACGCCCGCCAGAGCAAACTGCTGGGAAGCTGACAGCCCGGAGAGAAGGGGCCGGAGCAGAAGTAATCCAGCTGAGGGCGTTCGCCCAATTACACTAAACTACGGAAGGGAGGGGTAATAAACCTACGGAAGGGAGGAGTAATAAAAGGTGCTATGAGGCGAACGCTCGTAGCGCCAATTTTGATACGCTTGGGCTCAGTGTCTTTTTGATGTTACAGTCAGCATTAAACCAGCATTGCCTCTTATCTACATGCTTGCTGTGTTTTCTTGTTGTTTTTGATTGATTTGAGAGATAGAGCTGAGAGAGAACTCTTTAAGGCAACAAAATGAAGTAGTTTGTCAGGCAGCCACCATTTTGTCCCCACCAACAAGTGGGTGGCAGCCACATTCAAATCACCTCTGTGCAGCCCAGGAACATGTGGCCTACCCTTTCCCAACATAAGCTCCAGAGGATTTCAAAAGGAAAGTGCAGTGGTTGATGGGCATGTGAGGAACAGGCCCAACCATTGAGTGATCTCAGATTGGGATGCGGGGGGGGGGGAGGGGAAGGTGGAGGTGCTGCAGCAGCTTTGTGGTTGGTTGTAAGGACAAATGACTGCAGGGGTGCTGCAGCCACTGTAAATTTGAAACAGGGTCATAGGTAATTTTGGGGTGTCTAATTTTGAATGTTTGTTAAGTAATCTGTTGTACAGTAGAACCTCTGGTCATGAACGCTTCTGACCACTGCCAAATCGGGTTCTGACCAAAAAATTCACATTTTTTTTTCATGGCCGATTTCCCCTTCTGCATCATTTTTTTGTAAGCACCAATTTCCAAAATTAGGTACAAGTCACAACCAAATTGGGTTGTGACCAAAGTAATGGAACAAATTATGGTCGTGACCAGAGGTTCTACTGTATCTCAAGGACTACCTGTAAGCCAACATGCTATCTTTGTCTTTTCTTCATTCAGGAAAACAAAACAGCTAGTTCTTGCTTAACAGTGGCAGTTGGGACCAAAATTTCTGTTGCCAAGCGATACGGTTGTAAAATGTTGTGTGACCACACAGCTCAGAAATGGCAATTTCAGCAGTCCTGATTGCCATTGTTAAACAAGGATTGTACAGGTTGTTAAGTGGGGATTTCTTAATCAAAGACCACCTCCATGTCAAAATAAGTGACAAAATCAGAAAGAGATCACTACCACACTTTAAACTGAGTTTTTAAGGTGAATGTTGAACTGTATAAATGTTTGACCTACATTACACCATGTTTTAGATGTTGGGAGAAAGAGCTGATTTCTTG